CTGATGTTGTTGTTGGTGGTGATAATGGTTCCAAGATAAACGAGTTTATCTATGGCTTCAAAGTTATAACTGACAATCTCAAATACGATGACTGTTTTTTTGATAAGAGGAGACATTTCGCCTTGTCCTCGTTTACTAMCGGACCCATTTGCTTCRCTACCTGATCCAGTCTGAAGAAAGCAGAACTAACGACGCGGGTGTTGAGGACAATGATATCAATATCATCGGCGTACGCCACCAGCTGTACAATGTTAAAGAAGATTTTACCTGCTCGATTAAGCTCTGCAGCACACKTGGGCTCAAATCTAYGGRCATGCTTTCATCTRACCATATTKWGCATAGAAGCTAATACAGGCACCTTATTAGTTCTTCGCCGCCGTATTTCAATAGCTCGGCCCGTAATCCCTTGGCCCCTGCCGCCTTGTTGTTCTTGACATAAGTAATTGCTATTCGTACCTCATCTTAGTCAAGCAATGGAACATCCATTTCATCGTCATCGGCTGGGAAATCCGGTTCGCCAGAAATGTTCCCTCCATAACTCCGGTATACTTTGAGCATCAGCAAGTAGATAACTACTTCGAGCATTACCCCTGTCGGCAAGCTATTCAAGCTTTTCATACTCACTCTTCGTAMMAGCTGTTCTTTCGACCCTTACGAAAACCAATGGTTTCGCTTGCAACTTTACGTAAAGAGCAAGAAATTCCGTTCCACAGTTTCCTTATAACAAGTTGCTGATGAGTAATCTCAGAGAGCAGGAGTACAAGTCGAGTAGAAAACTGTTTTACTGTCTGTTGTGAATGCAGCTTCTCGGGCGTGCTTTGCTTTACAAARGCGAGTGCGGATAGTGGTCTGAATCGATGATAATTCCTCGATACGTGTCGTTCATCTATCACAACATTATCGATCTTGATGGATTTTCTTGTGCTGCAATCTGCAAAGTCGATCAGCCTCAACCCATTTAGAAAAGTTTCGCCATTAAAACTTAATTCTTCGAATTTGTACCAAAGCTGCTTTCTTTGCCCACSATGGCRTTAAAATCACCAAGCACAAGTTTTACATCGTGGCGAAGCACTTGTCATAAACGCGCTCCATCCGCTCATAGCATCTTCATACCGTCCGACATTCCGTCGGGGCGTGAACGCAATCAGTGTTATGCTGAACGAATTTGCTCTGAYGYGGATTGTGGCTAGACGCTCAWYCACCGCAGTGAATGCCAGGACACATTACRTTGTTGTTCGACTTAACTTTTTCTTCCTCATTTGTAGCGTCGGTAGCTTTGAGTGTACGTTTCGACCAAGCAACAGTTAATATMTACCCTATGTGTTTTGTATTCAACCCTTCTGAGGCAAATCAGGCTTATAWATGATTCTAATCGACAGAAAAAATAAATTTAAACCTAAAACTACGAGAATTTTTTTACCACATTCGAGTTCGAAGAAAACGCAACCTGCGCTCAAGCTAAAAAAAATTATCAACATTTTGCTGCAAGAAACGGGCAACAACTGGCAACTCACGCTCAGWTCAATTCTTAAAGCTGTTAGTGATATGTTGCTCAAGAAAAAGTGTGGAAAGTTACAACCAGCAACAAGTTTACAATACTCAAGACCATTGTTAACGAGTAAAGTCTTCAGTCTGCAGCCCTAAAGTACCAGCTTTGAGCTGAGCTACCGATATTCATATGGGTGCAATGCCTTGAAAGTGTCACAAATGTGTTTATAATAATGAAGATATAGACTGAGCTTCAACTAATCATGTCAAGTTGTATATGTGTGCATGTGCGCTTTGGCATGTTAGCGCTCATTTGTTGCACCTGTGTCGCGTGTCAATGCTATTACTACTGCATTCACTTCTAAACATGCACACACTCTTGGATCTATATAATATACTATACCTAAAGAAGCAGCTGCAGTGCCTTAAACTTTATTATCGTATTTCCTGCAACTTCGAAAGTGACTACTACGCACATACATACGTTGAAAGCACGCCTTACCTTCGCTGACTCATGTTGCTAACTAACAAAGAAAATTGGCTACATCTTGCTGGCAGCGCCTGGGGAGCGCACAACTGTACGAACTCGGAGCTGATAAGAGCCATTCAACGTTTTTCCGCCACCACGAACTTTACTATCGAGTAAATGTTAGCTTAAAGTAGCGAGTGGCATAGCGCTACACACATGCACACACATCGTTCATGTCATTCTGTTCGT